CTCTCCCTCTGATCCTCCCCCACTCTCATGCATGTGCTCTCTCCCTCTCAAATAAATAAATAAATCTTTTCTTTTTTTAAATGAATTGAGGGTCCAGAAATAAACCCATGTATCTATGGGCAAAATGACTTTTGACAAGGTGCCAAGACTCTAATGGGGAAGGAATCATTTTTCTCAACAGCTGATGCTGGGACCAGATATCCACATGCAAAAAAGAAAAAAAAAAAGAAAGTGACCCCCTATCTCACATCACAAACAAAAATTAACTCAAAATTAATCAAAGACCTAAACATAAGAAATAAAAGCATAAAATGTTCATACAAAAACATCAAACTTGATCAAAATTATAGCTTTTTTTTTTTACAACTAATAAGACATGGAGCTGGAATTAAAACCAAAGTCTGTTGACTCCAAAGCTTACATTCTCTAATAGGACCCACTCTCCAAGAGACTTTCATAGCTAGTTCCTCACTACTCTGTCCATTAAGGATGTGTATCATTGATCAAGAATAAAGCACAGCTCACCAGATACTCCTTCACACCAACCAATCTTCCAGAAAAAAAAATACTCAAATTAAAGATTTCATTTTTGTACCAAGCCCTTCCTGGAAAAAAAAAATCGCCTATTCTTGAAAAGGCAAGAGAGACAAACTTTCTCTGTCCTACCCAGTCCTCCACATATTTACAAAGCCTGACCTGCAACTAGGGTGCTTTTAGATCTCTCAGGAAGTCTTTACATGAAAAAAAAAATTACCATCCCCTCATGCTTTCACTTTCCTTACTATGTAGATAGAGGCTTTACTTCTTGACAACTAGGAAAAAAAAGGCTGAAGACAGAGCTATTCCTGAGAGAGAGAACATTCTGGTATTTTGATGAGGGCAGATCATATCACTCCGTGAGGGCAGGTTTTTAATAAGCTAAAGGGATGGGGGCAAGCAGAATAAAGACTAAACCTGCCCTTGCTGAGACCACACACAGAGTCAGTCACAAAGCAGCAAGACTTGACTGGGGTCTTGTCTCTGTCACTATAAAAGAAACTTAGGCCAGCCCCAGTGTTCCCTAGGTGTTCTGTGATGCAGTAATTCCACTTTATAAATTTGCCCAGGGCTAGCTGCATTTGCATTCCTATTAATGGTAGGCACAGCGAAGCCCTTAACTAATCCATGAAGTACAGTTCTGTTTACACTTCTTTTATTAAGATGAATCACTATATAAGGCCTTATGCCATGATTACAGGGAACCTGTTGTGATATAAGAATTTGAACACCCTTTTGAAATGTGAAACATGTTTTCAATTACTTACAGCCATTCATGGTCCCAATTCAGGCAAAACTTTCACTTAAACAAAAAATTAGCCTTGGCAAGAGAATAGTAATTCACGAATATATAAAGTTTAAATGTCCCGATTGGTAGTGCCTGTGTTGGATTTTCACAAGCGACATATTGCCATCTATATCTGCACTGTGTTGACCTAGGACTTACTCAAAGCAAGTGACACTGGTGTAGGTCTTGCTCACCAGAAACTCATTTTCTAAGGCAGGCACTCACTCAGCTGATTTTGAACAGATACTCCCACTTCCTCCTCTCTTTTCCTTTGTTGAAATCCTGAGCAGGATCCTACAACTCACATTAGTGTTCTTTGACTTCCTGGGGCAACAAGAGACAGAGACAGCTGAGTTAAAACCTACAATCAACACTCCACAGAATTTTAAGAATCACCTCTTTTTCCATTCCATTCCTGTCCTTTGTCTTTGCCACTGCTGAGTATTTCTCTAATGTGCAGGTGACTAGAAGCCCTTTCCTTTGTAAATAAAAGCCTGCCTTTCAAACTGTTCAATTTGTTAAAGGCTTTGTGATGCTCTGGTAATGTCAATGCTGGATACATTGTTATGGTGTCCTATGTGTCACAGAAAAAGCAGTCACAAAAAATTCAACTTACAGCTATGGTGCTTAGCAAGACAAAGAGCAATCTCCCTAAGGCAGAACCTTAAAGAATAAGTCACTGTTTGAGGACAAAGGAAAATAAAAGGAGGAGAAAGCTGGGTTGGATTCAATCCAGGAACTGGTAATCCATGAAAATCTGTAACCCTTTCCCTTTAGGGACATAAAGGTCAATAGTTTCTTAGTATACTGAAGGCTGGAATTGTGCCTTTACAGGTCTTTGCTATAATCAACACCCCACTTATAGTGAGTACTCAACAGAAGTTCCATGATGAATATAACAATGAATTTAATCATTTGTCAAAGTTTTTCAATTTGTCAGAATTCTCTGTTATGCTGTTTCCTCACAAGCTATTCCATACTTTCTGAGATTCTGTTCAATACAAGATCTGGACAGGCTGTGTGGGGAGAATTAAGGTAAAATACCATCTTTGAGGTAGGACACTACTTTAAATGGCAGTGGTTCTCAGTGGGGAGGCCGATTCTGCCCCCTAGGGGACATGTGACAATGTCGGGAGACATTTTGAGTTGTCAAAAGGTGGGGAGTGTTACTGGCATCTAGTGGACAGAGTCTAGATATGCTGCTAAGCAATGTATAATGCCAGGACAGCCCTTCACAATAAGGAACTACATGGCCCCATAAGGTCAGTACTGCCTACATTGAGAAATCCTGCTTAAGGGGGAAAAGAAAATGCCTTTACTCTCTGGGTCTCTCACATCAATCTCACTGTGCCTCTGATATTACACCAAACTCTGATCTACCTGTCCCACTTACCTCTCTAGTCAAGGCTGTGAGAAGAGTAAAGACAGCGCCCATGAGTGTTGAAATCTCAATTGCATTATGAAGTCATATCCAGATGGTGTTTGAATAGGCCAGGGCATTAGGCCAGCTAACCTCCCCTAGAAGCCAGGTAGATTTAGCCTCCATTACTCATACTCACTTCCACTTTTGGCTTTGAACCACTTCTGCAGTTGTAGCCTTTGGTTGCAAACTGCCCTAGGATAGTTCAAACAGACATACACTCTCAGCTACCAAGTAGAAAACTTGAATATTTCCATATTCACAGAGAAGATGAGCACCCCCCCTCCAAGGCTGACAAGCAACTGAGGCAAGCTTGGGTTCCTGCCCAAGTCAGCATACTGTATTAAGAGACCCTCCAGTGAGTTTGACCTAGAAGTCACATGGTGGTGCCTGACATTTGCTTGGTGTTTTTAACTTTGGAAGAGATTATATATCCTTGATCTCCTGAAGAGGTTAGCAGGGTAGGGTGAGTGCAAGAAGAAAATTTGGGGTCCTATCCACAATCCACTGGGAAAGCATCGAAATTCAAAAACACCCATAATCCCACTATGTTAAAAACAATTACACTGTGTATAAGGCCTTTGAAGGAGCAGGCTCACAAGAATAGGGTTCTCCTTCTCTTCCTGGGCACTGCTTCTTGCTGCATCTTAGGCTTGGCTGGAATGCTCAGCTAGACCACACTTTGATCAGAGAAAAAGAAACACCCCACTTGTCCAAGGTCTTGTCCAGAGCCACTTATCCTACTGACCCCTCATGCCAAAAGAGGAACCAGATTAATCACAACATTGACCTCGTTTGTTTGGGAAGCTCTGCATTTGAGGATTTTGGCCACAGTAGAACTGCCTTTGAATGGGAGAAAGGCAGAAAGGTTTCCAGAATCAAGTGATTTTTTATTCTTGTATATCATTGCCCAATGTTTAGAAACACTTCCTGAAGTGTTTAAACCCTATGGGGGGGTCCATCTTCACCCCCCCAAACACACACACAAACACAAACTCTTCATCCCCCAAGGCAATACTTTTCTCAGATGACTTGCTCCCACACAAAGCTTAATATTCTCCAGAATACTGGGCCACCTCAGGCTGAAGGGGACTGAGGACAACAGAAAAACTTTTCTTGCTTGGTGCCCTGAGGGACTTTCCCAGGGTAGCCTAGGAGAGTTGCTAGGGCTCCCACATAACGACGACGCCAAGCTTCAATGACAAGGCAATGGAACACTGGGCAGAAGGTTCTGGCTCCTTCTACAGCTCAACTCAAGCTCACAGTGTGTGTGCAGGCAACACCTGGAAGAACAGTGGAGCATTCTCTGAGCTCCAGATTACTCTGAGAATGGGTAGGGAAAAGGGTTTCAAGTACCAGCCCAGCGTTCAAAAGGCAGAGAGCCTCGCACCCCCGCCTTTCTGAAGAGAGGAAATGAGGGAGATAAAAGACAAAGCCGCCTAGCTTTGGGGCTGTGAGGTTCGGGCCACAAGATGCTGCCTGCTAGTGGACCTAAGTGCCTGCAGGTTGCAGGTAGTAGTCTCAGGCTTGGGGGCCGGGGGTGGCTGCGTGGAGCCATTCAGTTGGTCCCAGGAAGATTCAAGAGGATCTGCATTTGGGATGTAAGAGTATGGGGGGAGGGCTCATGGGACACAGAGGTACAAAAATCAGCGAGTCGCCCAAGTGTCCGGTGACACTGCCCTCCCCACATAGACACCACTGCCACCACGAAGCAACTTACTCCCACATCCTACAATATCACTATCCATCCCCACTCCCCACCTCCTTTCAATCTAGGCTGGTCTTGGGAGACCGACCCTAAGGGTGAGAAGGACACAATGTGAGAATCTGACTAGTTCCCGGGCTGCCTGCACTGGGTTACACTAAATCCGTCAGGGATTAAAACCAGACCAGATGACCCCAGGTCAGCCCCTGGCGACTCAGGTTTCCACTGTCCCGCTGTCCGGCTGTCCACCGGTCGCTAGCCCACGCTCTCATTGGCTCAACTCCCCTTCCCCCGGGATGACTGGTGGCTGCCAGTGCAGCCCCACCACCGCCAGCACAGAGCCTGGGCTGTGAGGGGTGGGGGTGGGGGTGTCACTGTCCAAAGCAGGGGGTACTCAAGCCAAGGGGCAAAAAGAGAGTCTGCAAGCCAACCGCCTAGAGGCGTTCCGGTCCCCTCTACCCGCACCCGCGCTCAGCCCCCCAGTCTCTGCCACCACCCAGGGGAGGGGGAGGCCCAGGGAGAGCATACGAACGAAACAGAAAATTCCGTACCGAGGGGGGAGAGATGAGGCGGTGGGACAGGGCAGCGGGGGGTGACTTGGGGTTGCGGCTGCGGCTTCCTTCCACCCCTGGCCACCGAGCTGCAGAGACGGCAGTAGCTGCTGCCCCTGCAGGCTGCCCCGTCCTCCCTCTTTCCCTCCTCCTTCCCCGCCTCCCCCGCCCCGCCCCGCCCGCCCCTGCCGGGAGCTGGGGGTGTGCGAGGCCTGGCCCGGGCTGGGGGAGGTGAGAGGTGCTTTCGCCATCCGCAGCTTTCTCCCCCCACCCCCATACACACCACATACCACACACCACACACACACACACACACACACCCCTCAACCGCGACGGGTTCTCCGCAGCTCGCAGACACCCAAAGGGAGGGAGAAAGGGAGAACAGGAGCAGAGGGAAGCCGGGAGCAGATAGAAGGGAAAAGAGCTCAGGGTTGGACATTTTTGGAGCTAGGGGTGGGGAGGAGAAAGGGAGCGCACCTCCTCGATTTTCCCCTCCCCACCCCTCTTTGCTTTTCTCTCCCCTTCGTTGTACAGCATTTTCCAGAAGCGGCAGCAGAAGGGGACAGAAACCTCTAGTCGAGAAAGATTTGGAGGGGTGGCGGGGTCTCCCGCCAGCCGCTACCTGGCAGCTGGAGCTTGAGTGTGCGTTTGTGCATGTGAGAGTGTAAATGCGGTTCTCTCTCTGTGGCTCTCTCTCCCTGTCTCTCTCTCCCTGTCTCTCTCTCCCCGTCTCTTCTCTCTCTCCCCCTCACAGTCCCGTGTCGGCCGCCCCTGTCAGTTTGCCCCTGTCAGTTTCTTCCCTGGCTCTTATTGTGTGGCTGGCTGCGCGAAGGGAGTGCGTGTGTTTGAAGCGGCCCAGGCTGGGTCATACAGCCCGGAGAAGCGAGAGAACAGGCAGGGGGCGGGTGGAGTGAAGAGTTTCGGGGCGCTGACGGAGGCGAAAGGTGAGGAGGGCCGGCCAGCTACAGGGAAGTTTAGGGATAACTGAAGAGCGGAGGGGAAAACCAAGGTAGGAGCCTGCACTCGCGCCTCTCACCACACCCCGCCCCTTTCCCTGTGCTCCTCTGCCCACCGCCGGGCAGCCTACAGGCCCGCAGCTGTCCCAGGCGGCTGCTGTTTGCGCGCCGCCCGAAGACCCAGTCCCGCGAGGCGGCCGCACCGCGCGCCCTGGTTCGCCGACACCAGAGGACGCAGATCCGGACAAACCACTTGGCCCCGGGGTAAGTCGACAGGCGGCCCTGTGCCTTCTGCTTCGCTGCTCGAGCGCTGGAGCGCTGCCTTAAGGGATGGCAAGGTGCGGGTTAAGTGAGGGTGCTGGGATGCTGAGGACTGGGAGGCGCTGGCTGTCGGGCTGTAGGCTGAGGTAGTGGGGTGCAGAGCAAAGCCAGCAACAGATTGTTTTTTGGACACAGGGAGAGAGATGCGATGGGGTAAAGCTCTAGGGGTGTCAGGAAAGGTGGCTCTTGTCGATGACCAAAAGAATCGTTTCTTTCCGGATATTCTACACCAGAGCTTTGCCCTACCCTGGTCAGTTATCTGCTCCATCCCTGGGTAGGTATCAGGCAGGTAAGAATCTGCTCCCAGGCTTCCTCAAAAACCACCTGGGAGGTAGATGGGCATGGGAATTAGGACACTGGCCTTGTTGCCAAACCCACTCTAAGATGCAGAGACCTGAGGTGAACTCATGAGAGTCCATCTACCCTTCTTTCTGTTTTGTATCTTTCAAACTTAGGAAATGACCAGATTTGTTTTCCTGACTTCCTTAAATGAACTAGGAAATTCAAATGGGGGGACCTCAGTCAGATCTTTGCTCTAAAGTAGACACCCCCTCCCTCCAAACACATATACTGACTTGGACATTATCATACCCCCCCCACACACACAGGGGTACTGAGCTGTATTTGCAGATACTGGTATTTCTCCATGGACTCTAAGAATGTGACTATGAGAAGAGCTTCTTCCCCATTGCCAACCTGGGTTTCTGGCCATAATCAGATATGCTGTGATGGCTGAGTGGCTAGCAGGGTTATCATTTCTTCATGAAAAGCCTGAAGCCAAGAAACCAGCGTGGAAGACAGAATCTGTGAACTTTACCCGAGTTTATTATATGAGTAGGAGAGACACAGACGAATCAATAATGCTCCCTTTAGAGATTGTGCATGCGTGTCAGCCCTACTTCAAATGAGAAATTACTACATTGATATGGTACCCAGACCCACTTGTCTATTGCCATGTAATTTATCTTCGTGGCATTTAGCAAATATGACAAGTTTGTATATCAGCATTCATTATTGTCTTTTGTCTGTCTCAGACTAGATTTTGGGGGGTTTTGGTGTTTTACAGATGATTTATATCATGTCTCCTTTCCCATAGATTCTTACAAAGCTGAGATATAAATGGTGCCAAATAGTACCTTTCACTCACTCTTTAAAATCTTCGTATTGTAACTCAAAAGGCATGAAAATACATTCACATAGTAGCAAGTGGTTTCAAAGCAAATATTTAGCCTGAAATAAAGGAAACCCACAGGGTCAAGAGGAGCTTCTCTTTCTCTGTTTGCAAGATTGAAGGAAAAACTCAATGCCACTTGAAATCTATGTTTTGATTCCTTGGAGATGCTGCTCTCATGGATGGAGATATATATATATCACATGGTGTGTGTGTGTGTGTGTGTGTGTGCGTGCGCGTGTATATTTTTTTCAAGGACTCAGATCAACCCCATACAATACGGGCTCTGTGCTGCTGTAGCAGAGGGGAATGTTTGAATTTGTGCTTCCAAAGCACCCAGGCTCTTGTGTTAAACTTTCTATTTATTACTATGTTACCGGAATACAATGAATTACCTCCTTCCAACTCAGCAAATGAGAGAAACAGATTCTACATTAAGTGAAACTGTTTATGTTGTATTGGGCAATTTGTTCTAATGCTCACTGCTTAGAGACAGAATAGAATGAGGATTACTCAAGTAGGATCTGAAAATGCGCCCATTCTGTTACTTTTTTTAGGCAATCATAAGCAAATATCTTCTTAGATGGGTTAAAATTATACTTCGCCATAAATAGCAAAGACCCGGTTGCGGACAGGTAGGGAAGAACTGGCAATTTCATAATGGGGAAAAACTGAAAGCATCCACAGGGATGGAGCCTAAGGAAGGCATAGGTCTCTGCTCTGTTCTTGGTGATGTGAGCATCTGGCTGCCACGGTGGGTCCTGATCCACAGTTACTCAGGGAACAAGGAGGTAGGTAGTGAAGGGATAGAGAGCCAATATAGTCCTCAAATGTGTTGACACAGGTTCCCCTGGCTTCAGTATATGCTCCAACATAGAAACCTGCACCAAATATCTCTCATCTCTGCCAACTATACGAGCCACAGTCCTAAGATTCCATTCTTTCTAGAATTCAACCAGAATGACACACAGAACCATACAGGCTTGGAGAAGGATGGGCCAGAAAATTAAAGATATGAAGGAAGAGGAGAGGGACAGAAGAGAACCCAAAGATGTTTTGAAACATGTGGAAAGAAATCCATCCAGGTGTTTGCTTTCTTTTGCTCAGCTGAGGAGAGAATTAGTCCAGATAATTGATTCTGATGTGAGGCATGCTAAAATTGCATGCAATTTGTCTTGTAAACACTGAGTAAACAATAATAGAATTCCTTAGAACCAGAGAATTAGGAGCAATGGAGTACATTTTCTCTTTTGCCATTTCATTTCACTCCTTAGCATATTAAATTTCAATCTCTGAGCCATTCAGTTACTTAATTATCTAATGGATATTTCAAATGTGTCATGCTATTTCTTTCCATCCTACTTTCAAATATTCTAATTTGTCTTTTGCCATGGCTCTATCACTGAAGGAGAGGCACCAAAGGATCTCTACCTGCTTTATTCCTGCCAAAGATGCTTGTTTTTAGCTAAGTACACTAAGCTGTTCAGAAGCCTCCTGTTAGCTGGAATATGAGGGACAGGACCTTTCTCCCCAAAGCTCCCTGTATCCTAAGATGCCACCAACCTAACCTGGCCTGGTCATTTTCCAGGTTTTCATGGAGGGGTATGACAAAGTTTGCATCCTATAGGCAAAAAGATGCCTCATTCTAGGCAGAAATTGCAGTAATCTGTTCTAGATCAGGGCAAAGCTGAGGCTAGCCAGTGAGCCCAGAGCTTAGTAGCTGAGATTTCCATGTCATTCTTTCTAAAACTCCATAGCTTCCCTTCTGTTGATGGGTCTCTCAAGTCCTCTGAGCCGTGAGACCAACTGACCCATCCTGATCACAAAGAAGGAGTCCTGAGTGATTCAGCTGTGGTCTCATACACAACATGTGCATCATGCTTGATTGAGCAACAAAAGATGATTTCTAAAAGAGATAAAAGCTGGTAGGACAGAGCAAAAATTTGCAGGTTCCCTAGGTTGGGTTCTCCATCACTCACTGTGGGGTTAGCACTTAGATGCTGGTAGCCAATGCAATTGCCCTAGCTTTTTGCTAGGAAGAGTTGATGGTGGGAATCAAGCAGGGATCAGGGCAGGGCCCAATGCCCTCATTTCACCTACATAGAAGTTGAGGCCCAGAGAGTAAAAATGACTTTCCAAAGTCATACAACTATGTAGCAAGAGAATCAAAGCCAGAACCCAAGACTGCCTGCTAGTACTGAACACATTTCCTAAAGTTCTCTGGAGATCTCTCCAGGAAGTCAAGAGGAAACTAAAAGCACGTTTGCCAAGATTACAACCCTCTACTTCCTTGTCATGCTTATATTTACCATCTTTACTGCCATATCCTTGTGACTTGCCTTCTCACCCTCTACCTGCCCCCAATAAACACACACACACACACACACACACACACACACACACACACACTTCTATACTGGCAGCTAAGAAAACATAGCATATGCCCAGCTAGCATATTCAGGTGGAGGGCAGAATTAAACATGACAAAGATTTAACCGCTCACACTTACCTGATCTAGCTCACACCACCAACAGCAAGGCATCTAGAAAACCCAGACTGTGCTGCACTCTGTTATTCCAGAGAATGGAAACCAATGGATTCCAGTGACTATGGTTCTGGCTTTGTATAGTCATTCTCAGAACTAGCACCCATAAATGCACACACACACATGCAT